GGCCAGCGTGTCTGTTATCCTCAGTCTCTTCCTAGATAGCTGATCAAAACAGTGCAGGGCCAGTGCAAGGCCATTTCTCCAATTTGCCTAATCTCCCAGCTCTGGTAGCTTTTGAAGATAATGTCATTAGGAGGCATGGTGGCTCTGGCTGGGAGCATAAGGAGACAGGACAGAGTGAGGAAAAGTTTCCTCTTCCTCCTCCTCTTCTTCCTCCTCCTCCTCCTGCTCCTCCTCCTCCTCCTCCTCCTCTTCTTCTTCCTCCTCCTCCTCCTCCTCCTCCTCCTCTTCCTTCTTATTTCTTTTTAGTACCAGGGATTGAACTCAGGACCTTGCACTTGCCAGGCAGGCACTTATTCTACCAAGCTATCTCCCTGGCCCTCGTTCATATTATTCTTGTATGCTCATGATAAAAATATCATTTCTATGACAATTTCTAAAATTATATGAAGTGGCTTAAATACTACTGACTGTCTAGTGGAGTATTTCTGTTATTACAGATTTATTCATTATTATTTTTTTTTCCCTGTGGCCAGCTCAGCTGACCCTGGGGGCAGGACTGGTATGGCATGTGGTGTCAGGGATTGAACCATGGTCCCTGAGCACTGCAGGCACTTTAGACAGCTGGGTTATTTTGCCAGCCCTCTTATTACAGATTTATAAACTAAAACTGCTGTTCATACCCTATTGTTCAAGGTCAATCTTTCTATTGTATGGTGCTACTACGTTAGCTCTTAGAGCTGACATTCGTGGCTATTTGTGCATTTCTGGCTTCAGCACGCCTTCTTCTTTTCCACTTCTCTGACACCTCCACGTGGGCAACATTACCAGACAACTGTGCCCCTTTAAGTGTAAAAGTTACAACCAAAATTATAATGAAAATTTAGAACAAACCAATATGGATATGTAAGAGCTATTAAGTTATTAAAACATTACCAACCACAGGAAAGGCTGCCGGAGTTAGCATGAATTATTGGAAGTTTCTAGATTGCCCCTAAATTTAATTAGTTTTTCCTTTCTAGCATCTTTCATGTATAGACCCATTGCTTCAAATGCAACCTTTATTTATTAACTCTCTGGCTGGTGGCTATGTTACTTCAGTTATTCTTTTATTCATCCACCCTCCCTGAGTATGTTAGCAGGCACCAATGTGCTTAATGTATGTAGAAGAAAGAGAAAGTAGAAGAAAAGCCCTGCAGAAGAAAATGAAGAAATGAGCCTGGGAAAATTGGGAGCTAACTGTAGTATAACTTGTCATTTTCTAGAGAAGTAAATAGATTTTAGAAATACTTAAAACCTGGATAATTGCAGTCTGTGTTTATTGATAGTTACTTCAGTTTCTCCCACTGCACAAAAAAAAAATTCCATTTTTCCAAGACCCAATATCAAGTTAAATCAGAGGTAAAGACTCTGGACTACTGGATTAAAGCAGGAGTTAGGGGCCACTGTCTCCCCCCAGCCGGCAGCAGCAAGACCACTTTCACAGAACAGCTCCTAGCCCTGTCATTACCCCCGAGCTCAGACTCAATGCAAATGGGCTGAGCCAGGGAAAAGCAATTGCTTTCTAACCAAACAGAATGATCTAGAAAGTGACAGGAGACTTCTCCAATTTGGTGCAGGACAGGACAGTCATTTTTTATGTCTGACTTCTAAGACCGCCAGGCAGATACTGAACAAGCTGTGACAAATAGTGTCAATTCTAGTACATCTCTGAAATTCGCCTTCTTTCTTGTCAAGCAGTACAACTGGCTTGAAGTCATCTTTATGCCTGAGATGCAGATTCTAAGAATTTTATGCTTAAATGTGCTTAGTCATCTGTAAGGGCCTCACGGCGCGGAGTTCAGGGCTTTTTGAGGGGCGCATTAGAGGAATATGGACACACTGTCCCAGGTAACGACTGTGTTTCTGGGAACACTGAGCCCAGGGCGGGGTGAAGCCAGGGGCTCCCTGAGCTAACCAGGATGGGGGCGATGGGGCGAGCAGAAGCCCATTTGTGAGCTGAATTGTATGCTCTTTCTCAACTCATGGGTTTGAACTCTGATCTAAATTGACTGAATTTGGAGACAGGTATTAAAAAGGGCAGTGAGGTTAAAACAAGGGTGGACCCCAATCTGGCATAATTAGTGTCCTTGTTATGACATGGAGATCTGGACACAGATAGGTGGAGAAGAAAAGACAGAGGGCCGGCGTGGCTGCCCGCAAGTGAGAAAGACACAGGATCCCACCTCGCAGCAGGCTGACCTTGGACCTCTAGGCTCCCGACTGTGAGAACAGCACAGTCCACCCCTTAAACCTCCTGGGATACCGCAAGCAAACTCAGCGAGCTGTGTTTGTAGAAGAAGCTCCTGCCCGCCCCCACCATTAGCCTAAGGACAGAAGTTTGGCGCCTGACCATCAGCTCCTTCAAGGACTCCTAGAGCAGGGGGAGGAAGTAGGCAGTGTGTGAAAGGAAGGGTGTGTCTTTCTTTTTAAATCTTCTTTTGCTTTATTATTGCAAAAGCCTGGTGCATTCATTATACACATATTATGAAGTACTAACCAGGCCTGTGCATGCAATCCCAGCACTCTGGGAGACTGAAGCGAGAGGATCCCACATTTGAGTCTCACCTAGGCCACTCAGTGAGACCCTGTTTCAAAATAAAAATACCTCAATAGCGAACTAGGGACACAGTTCACTGTGACAACCCTGGGTTCGAGCTCAGTGCTGCAAACAGGACAAAAACAAAGCAAAACCCAAAAAGCAACAACCACAAAGATGAAAAAGATGAAGGAACAGAATATAGCTTGTCTCATCACTCAGGGCTACCCAGGCACGTACTGTGTAAATCTCTTTAAACTTCTTCCCATAAACAGGCAAATCTATACACATAACACATACACACATACATAAATACAGTAGTAAAATGGAATGGTTTATTTTTTGTGGCCATCTGTCAACACCAGTAATTTCTCACATATAGTCTCATTTCCAGTGTCCTGACTGTTTTATGAGCTGGATGATACTCTAGAAAGGGAGCTGGGATTTGGGACATGGACGTTCCAGCACATGGAAAGATGGAACGGCTTTGCTGTATTATTTTTAAGGCAGTGCCTGTTTATATCCAGCTAGTCTATTTCAAGTGGTACATAAAACCTCATTACCAGGAACTCTACACTGAGCTGGGTCTCCTAGCCAAATTCCTAGGCAGGATGGTGTGGAAATTAGAGGACACTGAACGCTGGTGCCACCGGTGATTTGGGGAGCTGGGGCTCATCGGGGGCATGGCATGGATAGGGGAAGCATTTCCCACCTTGGCTGAGTGACAGGTGGGGCGGGGTGTAGCAGAGCCAACATGTCTGTGGCTCAGACGGGGGTGTGAGCTCTTCCAGGGGAGACCTCACGGAGTCAGCTGCCAGGAGCAGTGGGCGGAGGGGAGAAGTGTGAAGGGCTCACACTGCCACACCAGGGGAAGGGCTCTGAGCTGCCAGGGGCTCTGAGCTAGCAGCTGGACCTGGGGCTGTCGCCAAGGGATCCTGTGGCCGGGAGCCAGAGGTCACTGCAATGATGACCACTCCTTGTTAATTTTATCCCGCAAGCTTTCGGGGCCTGGGAAAATACAGGTTATTCTAGGGAACGAGAAAAGAAGGACTGATAGCCTTTGCAGTTTTTCTGTGTTAATGGAAGATGCTATTTGATTTTGGTTCATTGCCCAGTAGAAGAAAGAGATCTCTGGGGGCATGGTTAAATAGAAAGCCAAGCTAATCTTTCAGTGGAAAAGAAAATGTTTTATTTTATAAACATGAAAATCATGTGGCATTCATTAAAGTGCATTGGCAAGTAAACTTCTGCTATGTAATGTGATAAATAAAATAGATTAATTCCTCTTGGGAGAAGAAATGTCTTTCACTCAATGGAGGACTGTAGAACCTCCCCCCAGTTTTTGTTTCATTTCTTTTTCTCTCTTTTTTTCTTTCTTTGTTTTTTGAGACAGAGGTTAATTATGTAGTTCAGGCTGGGCTTGAACTCACTATTTAGCAACCTTAGACTCAGAGCGATCCTCCTGCCTCAGCCTCCTGAGTGCTGGGAGTACAGATAGGGGCCTCCACGCCTGCAAGAACTTCTCAGAGGGTCTGCCTAAGGAAGATAATCTGCAGCGTCTGATTCGGGGTCAGATGGAGCTTGTGCAAAAGGAAGAGCAACTTCCTGTGGACAGGAAGGAGGTTGCCCTCTGCCTGGCCTCGTCTTTGGACATGTGCTAGTCAGATACAACATCCGAGTCAGAAAAATTATCACACTGCTTCTCAAATAAACACATTGTAGTCACAGGTGAAGATTTCACAACCTTTTATATCTCCAAAAATGTACAGTTCAGCAAAAGAAAACTAGTATGATGTTTTTCCAACAGATGGTGTTACCTCATATGTGGGGCCCCAGAGGACATCGCACGGCACAGAAAACCCAGTGCACTGTGGCCCTTAGAGGAGAAATTGAAAACGCGTGCACAGCATTTTCTGTGACCCAGGCTGCCTAAGCAGCAGTCTGCTGTACTAATTACTGCCCGGAGGCTCCTGGCCACCGCTTCTAGCAAGGTAGAGGCCGAAGGTAATGTGTATTCATCTCATGACGTCTTAATAAATTTAGCACTGAAATATTTACGTGAGTTTTTCTTTTCCTGAAGCACGTACATATTCTGGAGGACTCCGTTGCATGCACAGTCATGTGCATGTGGTGTGGGAGGTGGGGCTCCCTTGTGCCAAGCTGTGCCATTTAATACTGCTGCTGTGACACACCCCTAGCCCCTTGGCTTCTTTGCAATGCTGGCTTAGTAGCCAGAGTTAGTTGCAAAAGTTACCATGTTTTGTACATGTGCTTAAGGCAATGAATAAACTTCCAATAAAACCCAATTTCTTCTCCTGGACTGTTCTCTTCTCTCTCCAAGGGGGACCATGGAGAGTTAGTTCCTTTGTAATTTAACTCCCTAGAGCCCATCAGATTACAAACGGTTATGGAAAACGCGGCTTACCGTCTATCACTGGCTTAGGCTGGGAGCTTTTCAGGCGCAGTGAGGGCCGGAAGCGGGTGCGGTCGTTGAAGCTCCAGCTCTTCTGCACTTTGGTGGGGCTGCCTTCGGCCGTGATGTCAGTGCTCGGGGACCGCCTGTCACCTACTGAGGCTTGTCTGCTCTTAATACTCTGGCCCCTCGGGCTAGCCATGCGCACTCGCTCCTTAAAACTTAGCTTCTGACTGTGGGAACAGAGGCATGATTATTGCATTTCAAGCAATTTCTCCCAATTCACTCGAGTACATGATTTGATGGAACCGTATATGGTCACAGAGTATGTATTTCAATAGATGAAATGTTTTCAACAAGCAGGAGCCTGGAAATGTATTTTTCCCTTACTGAAAAGTTGAGTTTCTTTTTAATCATTCTGCCTGCACTCATTTGGGACCCATCTAATGCAGGTGTACACACCCTTCTTGGATTCCTTACAGAAAGGACTGAGACCAGGTATAGCAGTCTGAACACAATGACACTGGAGATAGACTAGTTCCTTTAATTCACTTTACAAAGTGTCGGGTAATTTTAGTGTTAGCCTCAACTTTTAAGACTTAAAAAAAAGTTATTGTTGTGCTTGGGAGCGTATCTCTTTGTAATTTCTAAATAGTTCTACATGAAAACAGGGATGGTAGTTACACATACACATCCATTCTGCATGCATTTCATATTCCAGGCAAGATTAGGATATCTATAAACTCATGCAGTCTCATAGCAGTTGGTAGCACTGGACATGTACGGGATGGATGACACTTAATGTGACATTGCTTTTCATTGTGCTTACATCCATTCTGAAGAGACACCACCCACGCAAGGTGGAACAGCCTCAACACAGAACAAGTATGATGAGTGATTCACGGGATGAGATGCAATCAATGTTCACTAACACAATTTTGTGCGGTTAAACAGGTTATCGATTTGCTGTGGCAGCTACTGGCACATTATATTTGTTCCAACTTTCAGTTCTCTGGTGCTGGATAGGGTTGGGCTGCTGTGTGCCGCGGAGGGACATTAACAGCAGTGGATGCCACAGTGCACCTTTACACTTTTTTAATCTAGAGATGCGGTGTGACGTGCCCCGAAGGGCAGATCCTCATCTCTGCGTTGGAGATGAAAACAGCGGGACAGCCAGCGAATTGGGCGAAGCTCTGTGTACTCATTTGGTTTGGTTTCATTTGTGAAGGACTCATGCTACGCCCGGAAGGCAGCTCAGTGCTACCGATGTGCAAGGGCCTGGGCTGGGCAGGGAGTGAAGAAACAGGAGGGAATGGGACACCGAGGAGGAGTCCCTGGGACAGCTTTTCTGAGTCCGGTACGGCCTTTGCGGGAATGAAGGCAGCACTGTCGGGGGGCAGAGTTGTCGGGGACGGAGTGGAGACCTCCGCTTGCCCACTTTCCGCAGCGCCCACCGTCCCCGACTGCAGCATGCCAACAGCAAATGGGCTTGGTGGCCATGTGCCTCACAGCTAACAAGTAGGGGTCACATCGACCTTTCCATGCCTTTGTGCTCAAAAAGACGATATTGCACAAGGCTCCATGTTGCATATGTGGGCTCACAGGATGACAGATCGGCCACGGACTCCAGCTGTCGGAGCTCGGGTCACAGGGGGCAAATGGACCATGCAGCAGGGGCCAGCCTGCCTGCGCGACGCAGACGCAGCCACCCTGGGACCAGCCGAAGCGCAGAAGCGCGTGCACAGCGCAGGCGGCAGCTTCGCGAGGAGTCAGGCGAGCTGCGGGCGGAGGGCTCCCTGCGCTCCACCTAAGTGCAAGTGCGCAGCAAACCGCGCCGCTCTAGTCTCAGGCTGGGTTCTCCAGGTCGTTGGAAAGCCTTAGATTATTTAAGCAAACCTTTCAAAGGGATAGTGTCCAACAATACCTGCTTTTCTTCTTATTTTTTTTTTTTTAGGTTCTGGCGATTGAACCCAAGGCCTCCACTCTAAACTATATCCGCAGCTGTTTTTAGATAAAGTCTCGCTAAATTACATAAGCTGGACTTGAACTTGCAATCCTCCTGTCTCAGCCCAAAGGTCTGTTTGACTCTAACACAACTGTTTCATGATTTAAATTTGTAATGACAAATTACAGGAAATATGTGCTTATTGTTGAACTCTTCCTTAGGTTAATAAATGGTTGAGTAGACACAACTGTCATTACAAATGCCATCTCTATTCTTGTTCTCTGTCTTTCCTGGAACTAACAGTAACTTACTGTAGTAGGCTGGGGTTAGAAAATATGAAGTTATTTTTTCAAACTTTCAAGATGTCTCTTTCTATACTAACTAAATGAACAGGAAGTTGCTAAAAGATCATAAAAACTTTTGTAATGGGAACTCTGTTAATAGTTTTTTAAACTTCAATTACTAAAAAAGTAAAAAGTTGGATGAAAACATCAATTTTGAAATTCACTATTTTTTATAGCGGTAAAATATTTAAAACTTGCTCCAATAAAATATATCTAAATAAATCTAAAATATATCTAAAGTATATCCATAAAGTGTCTTATGAAACATTTTGATATTATCTTTATGAAATAATGAACCGTGAAAATATTTTCTGAATCTCAGTACCATTTAAAGCACTTATAACGAATTCTAGACTCTATATCCCTTCTGCCCTTCTAACCTACATGAATGCCTACTAATCTGAAAAAAGTCTCAAGCCTGTTTTGAAATAAACACACTGCACATCACATTCAAGAAAACATAATATTTTCACTTTCTCTTTAGACAGAATAGTGTGATAGGTAAGACTAACATCCTAATCCATAATTTTTTAACTGGGCATTTTTTTCTCCCAAGGCAAAAATCTGTTGTTATGTCCCCTGGTGAAAAAACTCTCTTTTGGTAGCTCTCCTTCATTTTCCCTTGGAAATTAACAGAGCATTTTGATTATATGGGATTAAACTAATTAGGTAGATGTTACTGAAAATACACATTGATTAAAAATATAGACTCTTCGTTGCTACATTAAGATGCCAATTATTTCCCTGTCTTAGTTATAAATGTCATTCTCTAGGAAGATCTATGTAGCGGTGATTTTGGCATGAACGTCAAGACGACCCCCAGGAGACCAAAAAGTAGGTCTTGGAGAAAGGCACCAAAAGGTCGCTGTGGCCACTGACTGGTGGTGCATCTTTTGTGGTACACAATCCTACACCCCCAGCCAAGACCTATGCTCAGGGGAGCCCCAAACTGCTCTACAAGGACACTGTTCCCACCCACCCCAGGAGCCGGATGGCCAAGGTGTTCTGGTGGCCCAGCATGTGGTGGGTGGTCTAACCTACGCTCCTGCTAGGGAGCCCTACGGCGTGGGCTACTGGAGTTACTGTGCACTCAACTAAGGCTTTCGCCCCTCCTGGGATGAGCATTCTGCAGTCTGTCCTTAGGCACACCAGGCACAGTCCAGTGCGTGCAGGAGCTCAGCAGCTGTCCCACCACAAGGAGGCACCGAGGGGCCGATGCCAGGGCTGTGTGGACCCCTGCCTGGTGGTCCCGGTGGCGCGGAGGACCGAAGCAGGCATGAAGCAACAAGGAGAGTGATGAGCAAGCTGGAGACCTCATTCAAGAAGTCCCTGGGAAGAGTGAGTCTGAAGAGGGCCCAGGTGGGGGTGGTGCCACCTGGTCATGCACCTGAGGTTAGTTGGCATTCTCAAATCCCATGTCAACAGCCACGATGCCGGTACCTCGGCTTCCGGGAGGTGTACATTCTGAAGAGCTTCTGCTTATTACTGCAGAGCTTACTAGAGCGGGGGAAATAGAGCAGCACATTACTAAGCATTTCACCGCCGGGCCCGAGCTTGGCGGGCTCTTCCTTACTTTTTTGGAAAACACGGCCTTTTGGCTTTATAGCTCTTTTTTTTTGTTTGTTTTTTTTGCAAAGAAATACACAGACTAAGCGGTGAGAACTCTGTGGTGCTGCTGGAAATACAGTGAGGGCTCTTAATTGCAAGGCTGAAATGAGTGGGGTTGACACAAAGCAGACAGGCTCTGTGTTAGCAGCTGTTTCCTACGAAAGTAAGAATACGCACATTTCAAAACACAGCAAGTCCTGTAATAAGTATCCATGTACCTACCAGTAAAAATGCTAGAGGAATAACACATTTTAGAAATCAATAAGGTAGAAAACATTAATTGTTTTGAAATTTAAGACAGAAGTTCTAGCTTTGTGTGAAACACCTGTAGTTATAATCATTTCTAAGCTAGAATACCTGTTACAACATGGAAGATCCCAGGTATCTAGTTTTCTTTTAAAAGTATATTTCTTATTTTATTTTATTTTATTTTATTTTATTTTATGTATTTAATACATAAAATATGTACTTATTTAGGGTCTCCCTACACAGGTTGGACTCATGGTGATCCTCCTGTTTTCAGCCTCCCAAGCACTGGGATTATAGGCATGCGCCACCACACTCAGGCTCAATTGCCGTCTCAGTGCACCCTGGAGGTGGGGCCGGCACAGCACGCAGGGCATGGAACCCCAGCTGCTGCATTTGCCTAAGCAGGTGCTTTAGTCTGCTGAGCTATTTGGCAAGCCCTAAATTTGAAATTCTGCAGTGTGTTTTTAAAAGAGTAAATCCTTTCCCCCTTCTATCTGTAAAGGTGAACAGAAGGAAGGTCCACTTTGAAAAGATCATCTTGAACCAATGTAACTCTTTGACAACAAGGATCTTAGCTGACGATGCTGGAGAGCAGGTGAGGTCCAGTTTTACCGGGTTTAGTTGAACAACCCACGCACAGCATTCATTGGACACAGAAGAAAGGAAGTGTAAGTAACACAAAGCAAAAGCACTAGGAACATAAGAGCACATGACCACTTCCAGACTGTCACAGAGTTCTGTCATAACAGCCACACCCTGCTCAGAACACCAGGAAGCCACCAGCTACAGTAGTTTGGACATTCCGTAGATCTGAGTGCAAGTTTGTAATGGAATGCAAGACTATTATTTGCGCCTTAAAGTTTTACACATGCATCTTGTGAGTCTCAGAGTTAACCTGCTAAGGCAAACTTAGGCCATTTTCTGACTGAGAACCTGAGGTGGCTCTATGGATGCTTAGTAAGCTACCTGAGAGTCAGAAGCATAAGTAGAAGGCAAACAGCTGGCCAACCGTGCTGAGTTAAAAGACAAGGTAGACAGGGGCAGTGAGATTCAGAGATAACGCCCAAGCCTCAGGGGCTAGGATCTGTTCTTGTAGCTATGAAAACTTAGGGCGTGGTGAAAGCCTTCTGACTCGGGGTGGTGAATCACTCACTGGTCACTACTCACTACCTGAGCAGGGAGAAAAACTTAGTGCTCCTACTTGAGAATATTGGACTAACGCTTCCAGGTGACTTCACAAGGAAATTCCATTCTCTGAAAACCACAACTGACACCACACAGAGAGAAGAAATGAATTAGAAAAAGAATGAGATGATTAATTAGAATAAAACAACTAACCCCATTTACCAGCACATGTATGAGAGTGGAGCTGTGTCCGTGGGAAGATGGAAGAAAAGAAATGGTAAGAAAATGACCAAGTACATTGTCTTTAGGGTCTCAGTAGAGGAAGAACAGAACAGGCTCTGCTGAGACCAACAGTAATTGGTGCCTGACCCTGTTCCCCACAGGTGAAGAAACATTCTTTTCACCACTGCTGAGCAGAACTCTATTAAAAAAGCTCTTGTTGGAACTGGTGGCTTGTATTTGTAAAGAAAAATTTTCAATGTTACAAACAGTGACATTGTTTCTTAGCTTGAGACAGTGTAGATGAATTTTGTTTAGACACACCCTAGCTTCAGTGTAGAGAGAAATAATTTCTCTGTGTAAGGAGAATATCTGAGAGTGGGCAACATAATTAACCACTGTGTGAGTATTTGACCTCTACCCATTCTGCAGAAGGAACGGATGGCAGGAGATAGAGTCCTGGCTCTCCCTCCATGACACAGCCGGTGCTGTGAGAGGGTGTTGGGGGCTGCTTTGAGTTTCTTAGCTCATTCTAGATTACTTTCAGTATTTAACACAATAAAACATTAGGAAAAAAGGTTTTGGGAGATTCTGGGCTCTGAGATAGCTGAAAGACCAACATTCTGGCTTTGGCTTGGTCTGCAACTCGTCTGTCTAGCAGATCTGAAATCACCATTGATGACCCAGTGGCCCCGAGGGCAGTAGGAACTCGCAACCAGGGGTACTGGCTCCTTGAAATGAGATCAGACATTAATTAAGAATATTCCAGACCCAGAGCTGCTGTCCTCCGCGGGAGAAGTCTCATTATAGATACATTTTCTTTTGTGTATATTTTGCTTGCTTAACGACAAATTTGTAACTTTCTAAGATGACAGGGTTGCTACTCTTATTACAATGACCTTTCTGCATTCATGGCTCAACACTATGTGTTCCACTATTCATGAAACTCAAGTTGAATGCCAAGGGAGTTTTGAAGAAGAAGCTTCCTTTTTTTTTTTTTTTTTTTTTCCCGGTATTTTAGGGAAGGTTCCATAGGGTGTTCAGGGTCAAGCGTGCCCTGGGGGCAGGGCCAGCTCAGCAGGCCTGGGGATCGAACCCTCACCACTGCGTCTGCTTGCAGGCCCTTCAATCCGCTGAGCTAGTTGGCCAGCCCTGAAGCAGCAGCTTCAAGGTGTACACTTTTGTGTGGGTTAAGAAACAAATAAATGAAAGCCTTTACTTACTTCCTTTACTTTAGTTTAGGAAGGAACTTACTAACGAAGGAACTTACTTCCTTTAGTTTCTTGCAGTGTTACTTTCATTTTCTCTCAATACTTCTATTTCCTGTTTTGGCTTATGTTTTATCTCTCTTCATAAACCAGTTGCTGTCAGGCATAGTTTATCACTGGGTCTAGGAATGGAGGCCAGTTTTCACACTGAGCCAAAGCTTCACACTGGGGATATGAAAGATAGCTGGAGAATGGGAATCAAGGTATCCAGGCTAAGTAGTAGGACAGGATTTGTGTTAAGGGATGTGTGTGTGTGTGTGTGTGTGTGTGTGTGTGTGTGTTTAAATGTCTATTAATTGCAGAGCGCCAAGAAATTTCAGAGATTGATTCTCTAAGTTATAAACAGTTCATTGTTTTTGTATGTATTCAGGCCCACAGTGAGTTATCTTTGAGAACCTCAGGTTCTGGCGTCCATCATGGATTTAAATGCTTTAGGGACACGTGGACATCCTGAAATTTAGCAAATTGCATGGGTAGTCTTTCTGTGTCGTGACAGCTGGCTGGAGTCTGGCTTTCGGGCCAGTGTGCTGAAGCTCACAGCGATACTTTGATTCTTTGTTTTCTGCCATATTAACATTTGAAGAAGTTTATTATCCTTCACTCAGGATTGCTGGAAAGGTCACCCTTATCCTAGCACCTGCACAGGATTTGGGGACTTCCCTTTTGGACCACAGCAGCTCCATTTTGGAGGCTGAAGCCAGGATAGGTGATCTTACTCTCAAACACTGCAGAACCTGTGCCAGTGGTGCCTGCCTCTAGCCTTAGCACTGAGACGAGTCAGCCTTGAAATGAATCATAAATAGATAGATCCTGCCATGAGGAACACTTTGAAAATATCACCAAAGAGGCTAAAATATAGATTATGGTGGGTGTGATTTATTTTGTATAACCTTTTTTAAAGAGAAGTTGTCACAATAGAAGGACAGTGAGGTCAGCTTGCCTTGTCCAGCATCTAGGAAAAGTATATTCTGAGACTGGCCCCAGCTGCCGTGACTGGGCAGCACTGCTATTTGGTCAAGAGATTTGCCATTTGACTCCACTCTCTAAAGTGGACTCAGATCTTAGGCAGCTGAAATTTCCCAGATGTATCACTCAGGAATACACGATGTTCTTATGCTAACTGTATCCCTACTGAGCAGAGAGGCACTCAAACACCATCCCTGAGCACCTAGGTTCCCTGCGACCCAGAGGGCCTCGTGGGACCACAACTTCCTCTCAGCATAAAAGGGTGCACTTACGTCTCGATGTGGGAGCCCCTCCAAGTGTGCAAGGAGAAATAAGCAAAGCGGAGTCTTGTCACCCAAGTGCGCTTTCTGAACGGATCTTGGGGTTGGGTTACTATTGTGTAATTAATGTCACTATTAAAACAGGACAAAGCTCGTGGAACAGTCCCTGGACCACACTGACTGCCACCTAGCAGCACCTTCGTTTCCTCGTTACTAAAACAAGTGGCAGTGAGAGGCGTGCACTTGTGTCCCATCATCCCTTCTGGGCCCTTGTGTGCTCTTGCTGGTTCTGCCTCTGCCACTGCTGATACCAGCAGTGAGGACCAGGCTGGCCCTGTCCTTTGGGATCCTGCTCCTAAGTCCAGACCCTTCCTTGTGTTTCTTAAACAAGCCAAAATTTCCTCTTTTCCTCTGCATTCACTCATGTCTACCTCTGTGCTATTTAATCTGACTAAGCACTTCTGCCTACAGCATGAAGGAGAGAGCAAGAGCCCCCTGGAGACAACCAGGGAGGGCTTTCTTCTTTAGGAAGGAGGGGCGTGGATACTTTTGAACCAGATCACTGGAGGAAACCTCAGTGCTGAGTGGTCTGGGGAGATCCACCTCATGAACATAACTCCAAAGAGTAAGAAAATAAAAGTTTCTCAACCCTAAAGAAGGACCCTAAAAAAGGAAAGGCTACCATCCCATCTTGAAACATTCAGAAAAAATTCCTCTTTTTGAAAAGCAGCTCTCTACAGATTATTGCATTTTAAGGAACTTGAGAAGAATTTTTGTCCAGGAAAATGGAATTCTCTTCCCCCCAGAATATTCTATGATCTGTAGACTGTGCAAAGTGATAGTGAGTGAGTTAGGGAAAGACACTGCGGCTCCCAAGGATGGAGAAATCGATGAGAGCCAGCAAACTTTGCAGGCCACCTTGTGAAAGGTCACTTTTAATCATCTAGTGTTTGTTGATTGATTTCACTCATGAGATACATTTAAGACATCTATCAGGCATAAGATTTATGAACAAACATGTAGCAAAAAAGAAGTCACAAACCTGCTTGCTGCTTCCCCTTGTTCTTTCCTTCAGGTGCGTGTGGACAGAAGAGAAATGATGACAGACTGGTGAATACGTTTACAGCACTTTCTCATGGCCCACTTGGGGATTGGGGAATTAAACCCTTCAAGTGACCCTTTTCAAGGATGACTCAGAAAAGCAGTATTTTTGGCCATCGATGTACTCACGTGGCATAGATCTGAGATAGCATAACATTTATCTGACAGATCCAATACTACCCACACGGGGCTCAAACCCACGAACTCTTCATTAGCTGAAGTTATACATGGTCAAGCAAAGCCAGTTCCGATCTGATCGGCATTGCCAAAGGTTCTAGGAGGATGCTCCTTCAATGCAGCTGTGGTTGTTGTACCCTGGGCACACTTTTGGGTCTCCAAAGCTGAAATCGTTAATATGTGACTGTGGTTCTGTAATTCAGTCACTTGTTAAAGATTTTTTTCTTATTGCATCAAGTATGAATCCCCTTTAGGTAAATGACATGCCTAGAAAATCTGTGAGAGATCCTCTTGCCTACTGTTGGGTGGCAATTTTAATAACTTATCTTGGTGAATGTAGGTTTCATCAACAAGGTGTAGGGACACTACCCTGAGAATGACCCAGAGAACTCTGAGCAAACATCTCATTGTCATGTGAGTCTTGTTTTTAAAATGACTAAATTGAAGGCATTGGATTGAATAGTCTCTGAAACGGGACATCTTAGGGTGCCCCCAGCATCACTGGAGCTCCTGCTTTCTTATAGATTTGTGAAGTGTCTGGTTTGCTGTCTAAAATCACACATTTACCCACGTTTCACCCTTTGCATAGTCTTCGCCCACTTGGAGAAGAAAAGAAAGAAAACTATTCCTTCTATAAATCTTTCTGTTATTCAAGTGAAACTTTGACATAGTACGTGATGCACCTGAATGGTGAATTTAGGGGACAGACTGAACCTGAAAAAAGAGAACGAGAAGGTGCTGTGTTGTGTCCCCAGTAGGTTTTGGGGGGAGGGAGGTGGTATGTCTCCTCCATTTTTGTCCTCTCTTGCACATTCCTCCCTGGAATGAGCCTGTGGGGTCAAAATATCCCACATATTTTTCAAACTATAGGGAACTACAGCATGGAACTGGTGTTCTTTAATGACAAAAATACCTCTGATGAGGACCCTAGTGGTAATCATGTTATTGATAATTCAATCTTTCCCCTGATCACCTATTTGAAATGTTCCCTAAGCCTATTCTTTTTTTCTTTTTATTCATTATATTATTTATTTATTTATTTTTGTGTGTGTGTGTGCAGGGTCTCACAATACAGCTTGGACCTGTAGTGATCCTCCTGTTTTTTGCCTCCCTAGTGCTGGCGTTACAGGTGTGTGCCACCATGTCCAGACTCCATCTCCATCTCAGCACGCCCAGGGGCGGGACCAGTGCGGCATGTGGCGCCAGGGATTGAACCCTGGTCCCTGTGCTTACCTAAGCAAGCACTTAGTCCACTGAGCTATCCTGCCGGCTCTAAACTTGAGAAGGATTCTTGTTTTTTTTTTTTTTTTTTGGCTGGGTCAGGCTGCCTTAAGAGTGGCTCTGGTGTGGCATGTGAAGCTGGGGATGGAACCGTGGTCCCCTGCGCCTGACTGAGCTTGCCCAAGCAGGCGCTTTAAACGACTGAGCTAACACACAAGCCCCTCCTAAAGCTAATCAATTAAAAAACCACCCTGTTGCAATTTTACTTTTCTCCTTAGCATTTATTGCTGCTTCACATATAATTAATTTTATTGTCTAGTCCTAGTATCCCTGGCACGTATACTTCCTGAGTCCTTAGATTTTCACCTTCTTTTTCCTCTCTGACTATGGCATTCCTAGTGCGTGGAGCAGTGTCTTGTGTGCAGAGAAATTCCATGAATGCTTGTTGAAGGGTTAGACTCTGAATGGTAAAGAGAAATGCATGATAGAAAAAAAAGAAGTTTGGTCTGTCTCTCACTACAGTAAGCCAGCTCATTACAAATGTAAAGATATTCCTATAAGTTACTGCAAATATTCTTCTCACAAATGTAGAAACTTGACTAAAATATGCTTTCTTTCTAAAGCAAAGGTCTTGAACTTGGCTATAGGGAATCTGAGAGTATGTTAAAAATTGTAGGTGAAGTTTTGGCTTTTTGGTGCACTGATTACTATTCTTGAGGGAGACTTCACAATTTCCATTATATTCTTCTCGATTTAACAAAGAACAGTAACAATAACCAAAACACACCAACGTCATCACCGACAGCAACAATAACAACAGCAACAATTACTGAGAATCACAGTAACCATGCAGGGCCCCTGGAGAAAGGGAGAGGGTGTCCCAGCTCCTATGGAATTTACCAGGGACTGTGCCACCAGAGACTGTACCACGGGGACAGTTAAGTGTTCAGCAGTGAATGGGCTGAGTGTCAGGTTAACGAGGATGCAAGGTGGGGCAGGAGGGGTGGGTGAAGGGCGACGACGACGGGGACAGGATGAAGGCGGGAGTTCCAGTCAGTCCTCCTCCACATCCACCCCACTAACAACAGGGAACATAGCGGAGGCAAAAAACCTGACATGAGTAAAATCATTGTTGAGGCACTGGGGGAACTTGAGTCATTCTTCGATAGTTTTTTTCTAGGCTTCAGAATGACTTTTAATCCAAAAACTGCAGTCAGTGGGAAGCCAGATAATCACACTTGATAATAGATCACTCTCTTCTGTCACTTGAGAACCCTCTGCTGGGTTTCTTACTCACCTTTCTCTTTTACATTTATCTCAAAAACTTCTTGAAGACAAGAACTTAATATCTATATAATTCTCGTTAAATTCATCATGCAAGGAATAGATGGCATTGTTAAATTCCCTTTTTGGGTCATTTTTCCTGTAGTCAAACTTTGAAATGATCTAATATTCAGTAAAAGGAGTAACTCAACTCCAGGCTCTAAGTGGAGAGAGGATACTGGTCCAACCGTTCATGCGACAGCACTCCGGCTTCTCTCCTCGTCCAGGAGCCTCCTCACCCAAGTCTGAGGGCAAGGGTCGCCCAGAACCCCTCTGCGCTGGCAGTCTGAGCCTGTAGGAGACATGTTCCTTTAGGAAGCGCCTCACCAGTGCTTTTCCTTTTCTGTGTAAGTCCAGGGCAAGACAGGGCGTCACTTGCTGAAACTCGCCTGCGGCTGATCAGCCTGCTGCTTTCTATTTGGGTACCTGGGACCGCCTCGCAGAACTCCGCTAGAGTGACCCTGCCAGGGTCAGGGGTGCCTGCAGCTGCTGTCCTTTCCAGCTCAGTAACACCGAGTAGCTCTCCTGAGTTGCAGAAGTGACTGTGTCTCGAATCCCATGAAGCTCTAAGCTTAGGGCTTTGTTGGGAGGGAAAGAGCCATGTTCTAAAACACAGAGCTAGACAGACAATTTAATACTTTTTGGAAACAATGGGAAGGACTGAGTATTCTAGGCATGTGGAACGACGCACAGAAAGTCTTTCTCATGACTTACTGTTCCAACAAGGGCTTCTTTAATTAGTGATGATTATGGTTTCATGATGCCCTGCTAGCAGAACTGCTGTCTAAAAGCCTAAGACCTACGACTGTTAAAAAATGTTAGATCACTGAGGTAAAAGGAAGGCTGCTTATAATCCCTCAGATGCTGCCTTCCGCTTAGTGCGTGGTAGGGTGGCGCCTTCCCGTTCTCTTGAGCTTAGGGATCAGTGGACGATTCGCTTTGGCCAATGAAGTGCAAGTAGACATAATATTACTTCAAAAAAATGCTCTATGATAATTCCACATTTTAATCTGAGTGGTCCCATTGTCTCATTTAAACCCTAATCCCATTATTCCAAGTTCTCATTTTATGGCTCCTGATATGGATTTGATCTGCAGATGAGAGCTCTGTCCTCTATGAGGCCGGGATGACAAATGACTTTTTCTGGACTCAAATAGGCAAAGAGAGTTTACTCTCAAGGCGAACCCCTCCTGAGGTCAAGTGAACGGGAGATAGTCCGTGTTTTTAAAGAACTGTGCTGCTTACGTTTAGAATTAGTGACTGTTACAAGATGCGATAGTAAAAAAATTAACATGAAATAGGAGAAAGAAATTTTTACAGAACTTTGGGGATGGTGAGGACTGACACTGAGTCCACTTAGGCTTGTGCTTGAGTTGCTGGTGAATAGTCACAAATCTCTCCGAGACCACCAGAAAATAAGGCAAGCCAGAGCCAACGCTTCTTGTGTGTGAATGTGGTTTTCTAAGCAACCCCAACAGACCCTTGCGCAGGAGCAGCTGTCACACGGATACCTACTTGGTGGGGCTGCAGGTGTGCAGGGCCTTCAAGTGCGGCTTCCAGGTTGCGATGGAGACAGATTTCTCATCTGCGGCATAACTGCGCCAGACGCACTGCACGTGGCATGGAGGAAGACACGCGAAAGAAAAAGACAGCAGGAAACAGAATGAGATGAAAAGGAAGATGACTGAGCGACCACACAGTGAGAATCTTTCCCTCCTCAAGCTTATCCTGGATGAAGGGAAAACGCGGCTTTGGCCCCTCCAGCTGGCGGTCACAGTGCCGCCACATCAGAACTGCTTTTCAGAGCAAGGAACACCAAAGGGCAAAAGCATAAAAATTGCAACAGGGTGGTTTCTTAGTTGATTAGGGAAAGACAGTATCTTATCTGGAACAAAATTAGCTAGTAATTAATTAGCTCAATACATGTCGGTGTGCAACTAATTAGATAAATCACTCAAGTATGAACATTCATGCCAGGGATTATTTTTGATCAATATTTGGTAAAACAGAGGCAAAGAAGTACCAAAAGTCGGCTATGCAGCTAGTGAACTAATAAACTAGTGACTTCCAGTGTGTGTTAATAACATAGTGATCTATCTGCCGTTGAACTACAGGATATTTCAAATTCTAAAAATGAGGACAGTGATAGGATGAAACATGTTCTTAAGGAACATGATTGGAAAACTCTCAAGGATTTCTTTCTTTTTTTTTGTATTTAAAGCAGCGTCCACAGGGTCTACAGGGGCTCACCACACAGGTCCAACTTGTAATGATTCTCCTGTTTTCAGCTTCCCAAGCACTGGGACTACAAGCTTGTGCCACCACACCCAGTCTCATTCCCTGCCTCAGCGAACCCTGGAGGTGGCAGGCTGCAGATCAAACCTCCGACCCCTGTGTCTGTCTAAGCAGGCAATTTAATCTACTGAGCTACCTGGCTGGCCCTTGCCCAGGACTTCAAGCCTTCTACGAATATGTGTTATATAATGCAGTGACTTCTTACAAGGAATGTAATTCTTGTGTACTGAAAATATGGACTCCTGTAAACAAAAATTCGATTTCATAGAATCACATCCAACCCATATGCTAAAAAGCATTTTCCTGTGACGCTTAATCATGAAAGTTTACATTAAGACTCTCATTTTGTAGATGACAAAACTAAGTGTTCAGGTAAATAAGGAGTTTTTTTATTTTTTCTGTATTTTAGGGAAGGGCCTACAAGGTGTTCAGGGTTTCACTACTAGATCGGACTTGTAGTGCTCCGTGTATTTACAGCCTCCCAAGAGCCGGGATTACATGTGCGTGCCACCACGCCTAGTCTCAAGGGCCATCTCAGCGCGCCCTGGGGGTGGGGCCCCCATGGCAGGCCCAGTGATCGGCCCCTGCCTCTGCTTGCAGGAGCTTTAATCTGCTGAGCTATTTGGCCGGCCCGATAAGGAGGCTTATACACCGGGGTCAGACAGTGTCTCCAGTCACTTGGCTTTTGGGCCCAGCCCTCCAGAGGGAATAGGGCGCACTGCTCGATTCCTGTGGCTGGAGGGGCCTTCATCTGCGCCGCACGTTTGCGTGGGCGTCTGAATCTGCTGGCCCACATAGACTCTAGTCCCTTGATTCTGTCGCGCTGAGCCTGCAGGTGTCTCTAATGACCAAGTGTTGGCTGCAACCTCTCAGAGAAAAAGAATTATTATGCTCTGTTGCTCAGAATATTCCACTGTGTGGGCCAAATGTATTTAAACGGATCCCATCCCTACTCCATAGCCATCAGTCATGATTTTCAAGGCTGCAGTGATAAGAAGCGGTCTGATTATATTCCTTTTCCTGAGAATATTACTGAACACGTGGGAGGTGAATGGAAGAGGAAAAGTCAGGACAAGTATTTTGGAAAACTGTCTGGCAGTAGCTATTAGATCTCCGGGCCTGCCGTGCCGGCTCTGCCCCTGGGTCGTGCTGAGACGGCGATTGGGACTGAGCATGGTGGCGTGTTTCTATAACCCCAGTTCTTGGGAGGCTGTAAACAGGCGGATCGCTATGAGTCTGATCTAGCAGTGAGACCCTGAACGCCCTGTAGACCCTTCCCTAAAACATACAATAAATGAATAAATAAGTTAAATAAAGGTGAGTGTTCTGTCCTATGATACAGCTGTCAATTCCTTATCCTGCTTGTATGTGGGTACCCAAAGGCGCACTCCGTGTACTGTTTTTCAACTAGTGGATGGCAGCACTGTAGAACAGCGAGGTTTGCCTTGGGAAGTTGGTACTGCGCATGTATTTAACACAACTCCATCTTTTTCAATCCTATTACATGACCCTTGCTCTCCTGTTGTTGCTTCTCCCCTTCTCTGCCTTTCCTTTTCTTCTTTAATTTCTTTATTAGTTTATGTGCTTTTTACATTTCTCATGTAAGAGAAAATATGCCATGTTTAACGTTCTGAGTCTGGCTAATTTCACTCAGTGTGATGGTTGCCAGCTCCTTCATCTTGCCTGTGAGTGACACAGCTTTGTTCTTCTTTATGGCTGAGTCATCTATGTATATAGCTCCACCTCTATACAAAATTTTCTTCATGCATTTGCCAGTTGATGGTCCTTTGGCGTGTCTGTAGCTTTGAATCACACTACCATACACGTGAGCATGCATGTATGCACTTTAACTGCTTTAGGCATGTGCCTAGCAGCGACTCAAACACTATTTCTATGTTTTTGAGGCACCTCCGTACTGACCGCCACAGGGCTGTACTTGTAGGCTACTAGTCTACTTCCACTGATAGTGCAGGAGCGTGCCTTTCATCCCCTCTCCTTGCCAGTGCCTATTGCTTTTCATATCCTTGTGTCCTTGACTTGGGTGAGACAAGGTCTCGGTGTAGTTCTGATTTGCATTTCTCTGATGGCTACTGCTTCTGGGAAGTATCTGTTCCATCCATGTGCCCACGTTCTGACTGAGTTCTTTGATTCAGGGTGTTAATTTTTTTGAGTTCTTCCTGTGTTCTCTATATTAATCCTCTACCAGAAGCATAGCTAGTGTTAAATTTCTCCTACTCAGTTCATTCTGTTGTTTCTTTGCTATGCAGAAACATTTTTATTTATTTATTTTTATTCATTTTAATGAGAAAAAAGATAAAACAGCAATGAAACAGTTTCAAAACAGGTTAGTAAGATAGTTAGAATAATTAATACATTGCATATTGTTGTCTTCATAGTAGTTATTCAGAGGACAATATGTTGAGCTGTAAAAGGCTCAAATCAACAACTTTTGACAATTGCGAATTGTGCTGATAGCTCACTACTATGATGGACTATTGGACTGTATTGGGTTATTTTGCTGAATTCAAGTACCTACAATCTTTAGATTGGCATCAAGTATGAAAAGGTCCTTTACAGTGTTCTCCAAATACAGCATTTCTAACTGCAATGAAACACCCATGTCTGATGAAACAAAACAAAAAAGGGGGATATGTTGGGAGCCACAAGGTAGGAAATTGATCAAGTGGGTGTAGGTGGGACTGGGCCTCAGTGCCTAAAGCAAACAAGCTACCTCAGTCCTGAGATAAACATCCTGTCTGGTTAAGGTCACCTATTAGTCGCTAGGCAACCTTGTGTTACCTGTTACTAACTTTGCAAAAGTCTAAATAAAAGACTGGTTTTTTGTTTGTGAAAAAAAAAAGAAAGAAAATATACATATATATGTATACACAAGATAGCTAGGATAGATATACAGCTACTTTCTCTTAGTTCATTGAGAAGAAAGGTTTGCACTAATATTGTTTAGACAAGATGTGCAGAAGCTTTTAATGGGGGCCAGCCCCATGTGTTGATTCTTGCTATTATTTCCTGTGCTATTGGCATCCTAAACTGGGAGATTGTGCCTATGAGTTGAGGTGTTTATGCTGCCTTCTAGCACTTTCATTGTTTCTGGTTTTATATGTAGGGCTTTGACCCATTTGCTTTGCTTTTAATATAAGGCAAGGGCAAGGGATCTAAGCACTATTTATTAAAGAGGCTGTCATTTTTTCAAATATGTTTTTAGTATGTTTGTCAAACATCAGATGGCTGTCAGTGCATGGCCTTGTGTGTGTATCTTTATTTTTACTCCACGGGTCTTCCTGTCTGTTTCTGTGCCAGTACTATATTGGTTTCTAATGATCTAAAGATAGATAGGTCCAGACATCTACTAACAGGAGCACAAGTATGAAACCTGTGGCACAGTGGGATGATGGAACTCTACGATGGCAACAGCTCTCTATAACTGTGCTTAGCAAATGAACTTCCCACAAATGATGCTTGCAAGAGGCTAGACACAGAAGCGTGCTTTTCTGCAAAGTACAAAGCCCAGGCAAAATTAACTTGTGCTGTTAGAAAGTAAACAGCAGCCATCCTGGTAGCACAGTGACTCAGAAAAGGCCATGGGCGCCCACACACTTCTTATCTGAGTGCTGGCTGGCACTGATACTAAGCTCGCTTAGGAAACAGCCTGGTGCCTCGGTTTATGAACTTGATTCTCCTCACTGTTCGGGTCATGCACTGCGTTGGGTGGGAAGTAAAGCAAATTCAATGGCTCAGCTCAACGTTGGCCTTAGGGGCAAGCTCAACTTGGTTCTCATCCAGGGTGGCTTCTGGCCAGAGCCGTGGAGAGAATGGGGTTCTCCAGCTGAGGTGTCATTGCATGTTCTCCTTGGTAAGAACTACATACTCCAGACAGCCATTCACTAAGCGCTGTGAGAAACGAGGCTAGCATGTGGCAGAGCCTGGGGGATTCTTTTGCTTTCAAGAAGGAATTTTTGCTTGAAGCCTTGCTCCTGTGGCCCACGTTGATTTAACTGATAAATCTGCGGAAATTGGTGCTAAGCATCTTAACATTTTATATCTAATGATTATCATCGAACATCTTGTGTTAGTTTTTGTGACTGTACACGCACAACTTTTAGTGAGCTGGTGTAATCAGTGAACACACATGAATTAGTATCACAGCTCCTTCTGTGGCGGCGAGGCCCAGAGGACTCCCAGCTCCAGTGCACTGAGGACATAGGTGCTGCTTTTGTTGAAGTTTCCACTTGTCGGGCTGGCCAAATAGCTCAGTGGATTAAAGCACCTGCAAGCAGGCATAGGGGCTGGGGGTTCG